ACTTGTTGAAGCTCATTATTTTTTCTTAATTCATAATCTTTTTTTAATTTATACTTGTTGAAGCTCATTATTTTATATCTTCATAATCTTTTTTTTAATTTATACTTGTTGAAGCTCATTATTTTATATCTTCATAATCTTTTTTTTTAATTCATACTTGTTGAATCTCTTTATTTAATAACATATATTCTCTTAAGCATTGCATCCAAATTACACACTCACTTTCACATTTAATTTTATTCCTGATTTTTCGCGTTTCCGTTTTCTTTTCGCATACGCTTCTAACCTTTATACTCTTACTAAGGTTCGCATAAAACTTCCGCAGCAATGAGACACGTCCGTTTCCGTTCAGCGTTGGCAGTTAACTGAACAGCTATGCCAATCTTATTGAACTTGGGCTTGTCTAACATTTTTTCTGACAAGTAATTGTATTGAAGCAGCTAAAGTTGTAAACACACACAAGCCCGCGCAGAAGAAGTGTTAACAGCTTAAACAAATAAAGACTTTATATGAGAAAAATAAACATATAGTGCACAGTTGTAGCTATTGCTGTTAAATAGAATCACTAGAGATATCTACAGTTTCGTTTACTAAGACTTTATTTTGACGATCAAAAATATGTTTGTCTGTAAGTATGTGTTTGCATATTTTTGGAGAATAAAATATTTGATATTGGTCTGCACAAAAATATGCGATCAAAACAGAAGTCAAAATTTATTATGTTGAAGCCAATAACAACGGCAATTAACATATAATATTTGCACATGTTTCCATTAATTTGTTAATTATGCCATGCTTGTGATCACTTTTTTTTATAATTTTTTAAAGCTTGTATAAATTATACGGGAGCTTATTGACTTTGTTTTCAGCTTTTTTTGGACATACTTTAATCAGTTCTCTCAGATTGATTTTATGTGCTGGCGCCACTGATTGTGCCCTCAAGCAAGCTAAATCACTGAGCACATGGAAAATATTTCACAAAAAATCTTCTCATATTCACTTTCCCGCATCAAGCGGCTTATTCGTTTCGCCACTTGCTTTGCTCTACTCTGCGGTCGAGATATGTACAGGTAGGAGCATTAACAAAGTGGAGCCGTTGAAGTCAATAAAAGAGGGCGCACTAATAGCTTATTAAAGTGTATAAACGCTTGCAACGCTAACTCTGCAGTTTATGTATTTATACCAGTGCTTTATTCGATTTGCTACTTTACAAGTTTAAGTGAATGAAAGACTAGCTAATTCTCCTCCGCGGTCGCATATTCCAAGCACAAAATGAACTAATATAAACATTTACATTAAAAAAACTCAATCAGTGTTCTATATGAGGATTATCTCAATATTTTAAGCATTCACTCCAACAAGGACACAATTCAAATAAAACGAAATTCAAAGAAAAGGGAGGAGTCACATATAGTATACAAGTACATATAATGTCTGTGCCACAATGTTGATTTTAGCGCCGTTTAAGGGCACCATATCATACTTCAATAACTGTTACATACAATAAAACTTTCCAACGAATGACTTGACCATAATTGGTCATAACAACCGAACCGTTAAGTTTGCTGCAAAGTGCAGCAAATCGGACTAGTAGTGAACGAGTCCAAGACGAAATATCTCCTGACGTCAAACAAACAGTCGCCGCATTCGCGATTCGGCTCCTACGTTGCTGTTGAAATTTCACAACTTCGAAGTCGTAGATAAAATCTTCTATCATGGAAACAGCATTGACGCCAACAACAAAGTCAGCCTCGAAGTCCAACGCAAAATAACTTTTGCCAGCAGGCGCGTTTTCGGACTGAATAGGCAATTCAGAGTAAAGTCGGCTCTCAACAAATAAAGAAACAATTCTACAAGTCACTCATTATCCCCGTCCTGCTATTTGGTGTAGAGGCACGGAGCTATTATGAATTTTCGAGAGAAAGGTTCTGGCAACAGCAAATACCGCAGTAAATGGAACGATGATGACAGCGCCTACGTGGGCTAGGTCATGTCGTCCGAATGGATGAAAACACCAGCTTTGAGAGTATTCGACGAGATATCCGTTGGGGGGAAGCAGAAAAAGAGGAAGACCTCCACTCCGTTGGAAAGACCAATTAGTGAAGGACCTGGCTACACTTCTCCGCCAAACAGCGGAAAAAAAGGTTGTCGCGTTTTACAGATGTTGTTTAATTATACCCTGAACAGGGTATATTGAGTTAGTCACGAAATTTGTAACACCCAGAAGGAAATGTCAGAGCTGTGTCGATTTAGCCATGTCCGCCTATCTGTCTGTATATATACGAATTAGTCCCTCATTTTTAAGATATCGTTTTGAAATTTTGCAAACGTCATTTTCTCTTCAAGAAGCTGCTCATTTGTCGGAACTGCGGATCTCGCATTACTATAACATACAGCTGCCATACAAACTGAGCGATCGGAACCAAGTTCTTGTGTGGAAAACTTTCACATTTGACAAAATATATTCACGAAATTTGGTGTGAGTTATTGTTTATAGAAATAATGTAATCTCAGAAGAAATTGTTCAGATCGGATTACTATAGCATATAGCTGCCATACAAAGCGAACGATCGAAATCAGGGGTTTGCATGGAAAACTTTCGCATTTGCCGTGGTATCTTCACGAAATTTGACATGGATTACTGCTTAACGTAATTATATAATCTCCAAAAAAATTATTCAGAACGGATTACTATAGCAGATAGCTTCCATACAAACTGAACATAGAGTTACTAACAGAAATGCACCTGTGAAGGGTATTTAGCTTCGGTGCAACCGAAGTTAACGTTTTTTTTTTTTTTTTTTTTTGTTTTTAACCCAATTTGGGACTACATACTATACACTTATAGTTCAATATTTTAGTCAAGTGCACGAACTAAAATCTCCGCTATTATATTATCTCTGAATCACCCTGTGCTTCTGATGAAGTTTATCAATTTAAAATTATTAGGAACATGGTACTCCCAGTGGACTTATCAAAACTTGCTCTGATTACAAAAAATAATTTGTGTCAGTTCTCATGCGTCTAATAACTAACGAGCTAACAGCTACATGAAAATACGTTAACTTCGGATGGACTATAAAACCCTTTACAAATAGAACAGATTACTTACAAGAACTTGATTTCGAACAATCAGTTGGTGTGACAGCTATATGCTATAGTGACTCGATCTAAAATATTTCTTCGGAGATTACCCGTGCCAAATTTGGGAGAACGTACTAGCTGTATCGTCGAATGAGAAAGTTGTACATATAAACAAACATGATTTTGATAGTTCAATTTGTATGACATCTATGTATATGCTAATGTTTTTCGATATCGGCGATTCCAACAAATAAGTTTCGTGTGGAAACAGACTATTATGATTCAATCGTTACGGCTCGTAACACTAATAATTTATACCTATGCATATTCATATATAATTTATAGAATATCCATCGTTTCCTTTTGCGTATCACAAACTTTACGCGAAACTTAATATGTACTATAAATTGATATGGCCATTTAAGATAACTCACACTATTGTCCTGAAACAAATCTTTTACCAACCTCGAAGTATGCTTAGGATCATTATCCTGCTGAAATTTCCATATTAGTGGCATACTTTCCTTAGCATATGGCAGCAACGTGTTTTCTAAGATATCTTTATATTGGAACATACTCATGGTGCCTGAAATATGATGTATTCGTTCTACACCATACCTCGAAAAGCAGTCCCAGACTATTATGTTGATGCCACCGTGTTTAACGGCCATTTTTGTAGACTCTGAATGCAATTATTTGCCTTTCGGACAACGGACTTTCCGTCATGTAAATTTCCGAACAAATTATTATTTTTTTTTTTCATCGCTCTACAAGTTATTTCGAACACTTTTTCTCACCCCTTGGGCCGTACCAATTTGCTTGATTTTTCGCGAACTGTAATCTTATCCCAAATTTGTTTTTTTTTTTTTGCAATTATTGTATTCTTCTTGCCAGGTAAATTAGCTCGATGTAGCCTTCCTCTGCCCATTCGGGAAGATATTATGCTATCAATATCGACTGATATTATCCTTGAAGATATCAATGGCTCCTTTTTACCAAGAGTGACGATACAGTTGTGCGTTATTGTTGATTTCTTTTTTGGTCGACCGCGAGTTTCAACATACTTTTTAATCCTTAGGGTATTCTTTACCAAACCATTAAAATAAATCGTTCGATTTACTGAAAATCATAAAACAAATAACAATGTACTTATTATTTTGACCACTTAGAAACACGTGCATCAACAATCAATTGACACGCCCACTACAAAGGGGGATTCAGCGTATACTTTTCTTTATAAAAGGTACTACAATATCAAATTTACTAAAATCAACCCGTAGTTGCGTTCGCGTACTTCATCAAACATTCAAAATTCAATCATAAATGCAATCTAAAGGAATGTACTTATTATTTTGGCCATATGTGTACATCCAGTTCAGGGTATAACAATAAATAAATAAATAGAAGAGACGTCATTCTCTTGGCATCTTCTTTGCTCATAACACCATACAAATATACAAAATTTGACGTTATAGCGTTTATGTTGCTGCACCCACTTATTGACCTCAAATTTTCACCACCATCACGAGCTATACACTCTTTGACCATACCACTTGAAGCTCTTTCAAGGCTTTCGTAATGCAACTAAGAGTGTAGCGAATTTTAGCCAAATTAATTTTGATTGCAAAGCCCTCAGTGGTTTTTAAATTTAGTTTTTTTTTAGCGGATATTTGCATAATTAAAATTTGTCTAAGATTGTTCTGCTTTTTTGTGAAATTCACCATTGTCTGCGATCGCAAGAGCTGCTTTGAACATTTTCGTTTATTTAAGGCAAGCCTGATTTTCAAACATTCGTTGAATATTGCGAGCAAAACAAAAACTAAAAGCCGTTTGCCAGTGTCTCAAGTGGTACCGGTATTCACAGGTATGCTTAATGTTATAGTTATGCATTTATTTAATAAATTAAAAAATTTAACATGGACTGACGCAAATAACGACTTGGCGCTAAGTTCCAAAAAGATCCGACGTTTTCGCGCCATATTTTGTTCAGCGATGAGCTCCAATTCTGGTTCAATTGGTATGCAAACAAACAAAATTGCCGCATTTGGGACGAAGAGCAACCTGAGAAACAACGGTTTGGTGTGGTTTGTGTGCCGGTTGAATCATTGATCCATTCAAGAATTATACGGGTGAGAACGCAACTGTCTATGGCACTATTAACTGACTATTTAATGCCTGAAATTAAAGCTCATATCTCGGCTACATTTGGTTTCAACAAGACGGCGCCGCAATGGATTTATTGAGATAACAGTTCAGTTAACAGATAATTTCATGTTTCGGGCCGGCCGATTAGTCTCCAGAATCATGTGATATCACACCTTTAGACTTTTCCTGTGGGCATATATAAAGTTTATGCGGACAATCCCGCTTCGATTCAGGCCTTGGAGCAAAACATCATGCGTG